CCAAGATGGCGCCATTGAACTCCTGCCTGGGCAATAGAGTGAGACTCTGTCAAAAAGAAAAGAAAAGAAGAAAGAAATAAAAAGAGATTGTGAGGCCGTAGCTGGACGAAGCATCCATCGCATGTGGCAGATGCCATGTGAGTGAGCCTGGGTGTGCAGGCCGGAGTAGGAGCCCTCCAGTTAACAGAACCTGTCTGTGCTTCTCCGATCACAGAGTGTGCCCTCAGCGACATCTCAAAGCAGTTTTCAAAGGTAGCGCCGCCCTGCGTCCCCTTAAATGTGTTTTGATGCAGCTTCCAGAAGATTCAAGAGACATCCTGTGGGATATATTTTTACATGCTTCGCCTGCCTCAGTCAAGACACGTGGTTGTTAATGTCAGGTCAGGAGCTGCCATTGGGGCAAAGCCACAGTCAGAACCTGCCGCTGCCGCCGCCGCCTCCAAGCCTGAAGAGCAGACAGGGCATCTGTGTCCCCAGATTCCAGCCGCCTGGCCTGCATCCATCAGCACTGCTGGCTTGGGCTGAGGCAGGGGCTGAGCACGTGAAGGCCCCAGGGACAGGGATGGCCCCTGAGGAGCTCTGGGGGCTCAGCAGGCACCTCCCTCCATGCTGAGGCCAGAGGTCATCGGGTCCTCCAAGGAGACTTCCTGCCGGGCCAGGACGGAGCTTCCATCAAAGCTCATCAGGAGCGGCCGCACCTGCCTTTCTCACAGACACTTCCAAAGGCAGCAGTTCTTCCACGCGATCATGGGCTCAGGGCTTCCAGCACCCTGGGGCTCTGCTGGGTGGGGCCAGCAAAACTCCAGGAGGCAAGGAAAGGTTTTGCCCTAAGTCCCAGACGAGGGCAAGCAGTGGTGGGTGGGTCCAGGGGCCAGTGCAGAGCCCAGCACCCTCAGAACCCCTCCCTGGCTCCCCCGCGGGAGTGAGTCCCCAGTGCGTGGCTGTGACCTCAGTGGCTCTGAGTTTAACTGTGCATTGGTGGAGGGCATGTGGCGAGGGCTCCACGCGAATGCCGCACCCCGCTGTGTGCGTGTGTGCAGCGGTGGGTGTGAGTGTGGCCATGTGCTCTGCGGTGTCTGTTGAGATGCCGTACACAGTGACTGTGGGTGTGTGTGCAGCTGTGGGTGTGGGTGTGGTCGTGTGCTCTGGGATGTCT